CGGGCACGCTGGGCTGAGCTGGACCTCGCACCGGAGCTCGCGGACGCGGCCTGCAGGCGGGTGCGATGTGGCGCGGAGGCAGCGGAGATTTTTGGGGTTGGTCGCCGCGGTGGGCACCTCGAACCGAAGCCGGACGCTCGTGTCCTTTTTGACACCTATCGCCACCCCAAACGGATGAAATCCGGACAAAACGGACGTCCGTTTGGGGTCGTGCGGTGGAGTTGGCCTAACTCCACCGCGCGACCCGAAATGGACGTCCGTTTTGTCCGGATTCTGTCCGTTTGAGTAGGGCAATGGAGTTGTGTCCGGGCCTATCCTTGAATGCGGTGGCCGTGCGCCCAGCGCGCGGACGCATCTTGTCCACGTGCATATTTCTTTGCAAGTCCTTAATTATTTTTATCATTCATTTTTGATACATGACAATACATCATCACATTTTGACTAGTAAAGCAAGGCCAAGAAAAACAAGAACCATAAGAATACATTTAAGAAGATACCCAACTTTTCATAACTGCTCCCTTGAGTTGAGTCAGGGCTTTCTCGATGCACTCATTGGTGATCTGTGGAGGAGGCTCGACGTTGCACCCTCCTTTCTTCTTCAAGCCAGAAGTCGATGTTGCTTCCTCACACCTAGTCTCGTGTCTAACATCTAATCTAGCAACAAGTGCACTTGTCTCATCTACAACCTTTATGCTAGCTAAAAGTGCACGAGCATGTACTAAATTTCGCTCTATCAATATATCGATGTACTCTTCTTCACAATACCAAAACTTGCATCCATTCTACACAATAAAATTTGAAATTAGCACAACTAGTCTAATCCGAGAGCACAAACCGAAGCTAAAAAGAGCAGATACCCCATCGTTTAAGCACTTGATGAACACCCATCCGGGATGTTCCGGCGTTGTAGACACGCGGCGCACGACCATCCTTGGGCAGTGGTCGCACTTAATGAGGGGCAACGGTGCCCCGACGAGCTTTTGGGCAAGCACCGAGCCCGGCTAGCCGCCATTCGTGTATCTGCCGGCGGACCACCGGCAGTGCAGATCCGAGCGGCTAGAGGACGAGCCACTGCCTGCATGTGGCCTTGCGGCCTTGCCAGGGCCTTCCGGCGAGGTGCTCGACCAGTCCATGGCGCGGCCCGGCCTCCCACAGCCAGGCGAGCTCAAAACCGACCGGATCCGCCCCAAATCCGGCCGGCGGGTGCGCAAACCAGTTGGCCGTGGTTGGGTAGCTCGGCGGCGTCGAGGGGAAGGGGTTGGGCGAGCGCGCGTCCGAACTGCACGGCTGCAATGGCAGCGGCGGCGGCGACGGCCGCGAGGGGAAGAGTGGGGAAGAGTGGAGAAGAGTGAAGTGGGGTGCGGCCGGAAGGAGGGAGGGGGCGGATAGAAAAAGGCCCGTCCTATGCCACCGACGGGCGGGCCAGGGGAGGACACACGCAGATGGCTGGCGCGTCCGCGTGGTGTCCGTTTCACCCCAAAAGCGGCGCAAACTTGAGCCGCGGATGGGTCGAAAGCGGACACAAAACGAACAAAAGTCCGTTTGCTCCCGCGCGTTGGGTCGCCCGGTTTGTCCCTTTTACCCCAAACGGACGGGGTCGGACAGGATGGGGTCGCGCGGTGGAGTTGGCCTCAACCGAGGCCTTTTGTGTTGATCCGGATCTCGCCAAGACCCTCTTGGATTTCGGCAAGTAGCATGAGGACCGAGGACTCGGAGCAACCAGTCCGTCAAGTTTCTCAGAGACCACATGGACGCCAAGTGCCATGATGTCGACGACCCTTCAAGTTGGACTACGGTTGCCGAGTACCACTACCATCGCAAGAACCGAGATCGGCAAGTCCAAAGACCCCAAGTACCACGACTACCCTAAGGACATTGGTCCCGTCAAGTTCAACTACAACATGTGTACAACTACCGCCGCCTTGATTTTCGACAACACGTCATGTACCTCTACTTCCACTACCATCGACGATGACCGATAGCAGCACTAGTTCCCACTATGACCCGTGTACTACTACTTCCACTCCGAACTAGATCCATCCCGAATGTACACTTTGAAGGTATACCACCGAGACGACCGCCCGTGGACGAATGCTTGTGTTGTATGAGATGCTCGTGTTTGCACCATGCTCGATCTATCACTTGCGATGCCCCTCTTTTGCCATGCCACCATCATGTGGGACACCCGATATCCGGGATCACTCCCCGTCACTCTTGCATGTTTCGCACTTCCGATCACTTCTTTTGCACCGGCATCTCAACGAGTAATCGGAACCGATATGTTGCAGTGGCATCATTTTCGAATCCGTCGTGGTGGCACTCTCTCTTTCCACCACGGTGACAAATGCTTCATAACATGCTCACGTCAACATTTTCATAAAATTGCATATAACTTGCATGTGTCATCCGCATCATGATAACAACATTTAAAATGTTTAAAATTATTGTTTGCATTAAATTGCTAAATGACATGTGGGGATTTATCGCAATTGTTATTTGTTGTTTCCGGCCTCATTTAAACTTGCCTAGATAGGTAGTTTCATTATGCTTCACCTATTGCCATGTTAACCAACATTTAATATCGATGAGTAGCATAAACGGGAGCGAACTAAACAATTGGATGTGGTGTTTCATCAGTATGCAACTCGTTGCATATTGAACTCCATTTAGTTTGTAGTATTGTTAGTTGCACTTTGCCATGCCATGCCTATCTAAACCGGACATGCATCATTCTTAATTGTGCAACATGCCATGTTTATGCTTGTGTGTTTACCATGTTGTTTGCTTCTTTTTGGTGTTGCTTCTTGATAGTCTCGGTTTCGTTGTGATCGTGAGGATTCGTTTGAATACGCTTGGTTCGTCTACGCCCGTTTGTCTTCTTCATGGACTTGTTCTTCTTCAGGCAAGATGACTAGTACCTTGGATCTCACTACTATCTTTGCTATGCTAATTGTCTCGAGGCTATCGCTATGTCGCGCTACCTACCACTTGTTTATCAAGCCTCCCAAATTGCCATGACAGCCTCTAACCTTTCCCACCATCCCAGCAAACCGTTATTTGGCTATGTTACCGCTTTGCTCAGCCCCTCTTATAGCATTGTTAGTTGCAGGTGCAGTTGCAGGTTGTTCCATGTTGGGACATTGATATCATGGGATATCACAATATCTCTTATTTCATTAATGCACATATATACTTGGTAAAGGGTGGAAGGCTCAGCCTTTTGCCTAGTGTTTTCTTCCATCTTGCCGCCCTAGTTTTTGTCATACCGGTGTTATGTTCCTTGATTTTGCGTTCCTAACACGGTCGGGGTTTACGGGGCCCCCTTGACAGTTCGCTTTGAATAAAACTCTTCCAGCAAGGCCCAACATTGGTTTTACAATTTGCCTAATAACAACTAAAACTTGCATAGGGATCGGCTTGCACCCGAGAATTCTTAATCTACAACCCCGGGCCAATGCTCCTCATGAGTGTTGGTCCAAAACAGAGTCGTGTACGGCTTCCCCTCGCGAAACTCGGGTCTCAATTGTTGTACGCTATGCTCATCCGATCATGGCCTGATTTTGAGATACGCGCGGCTCCAATCAGGGTGTCGACATGTCAGGAGGTTTTGCTGGTTTTGTTTTACCATTGTCGAAAGTTGGTACACCCATGTAAGGTTTACACTTTCGAAAGACATGCCCGCGGTTATGTGGCAGATGGGTGTTTCTAATATCCGGTTGTAGAGAACTTGACACCAGATCCGAATTAAAATACACCAACCGCGTGTGTAATCGTGACTGTCTCATTTCAAGTGAGTCGAGAAGAGAACACGGTGAGGTTATGTTCGAACGTAAGTAGTTCAAGATCACTTCTTAATCATTACTAGTTTGCGACTGTTTGCGTAGCTTCTCATCTTATTCTGGTATTCGTAAGTTAGCCACCGTACAATGCTTAGTGCTGCTGCAGCCTCACCACATATCCATTCCATACCCATTAAGCTTTGCTAGTCTTTGTTGAAATAGAGATCGACAGAGAACAATCGAGAGAGTTGTAAAGTGAATCTCAAGTAGTCTTTATTGATGGTGTTGAATCCTTTATATACAACATGTACACACGTCTCCAAAGGAGACGACGGTTCCAAGAGGTGTGACGGTTCCCACATCGTGCGATTACATGCACGGGGAGAGAGGGGATTATCCACTAATTAATGATGAGTTAATTACTCTTAACACTCCCCCTAATCACCGCTTGACTGCATTAAGATCTATTATCTTGATTAGATTCTCCTCCCAAAATCCTGTGGAAAAACTATAAGGAGATAGTGTTTGATATGATGCCAAAACTCCTTCAGACCCAGTGGGAAAAATAAGGAGAAAATGAGGCAACATATAATGGTTATTGTCTCTTTTAACTCAATATGAGAAAATCCATAGAGTTTAGAGAACAATAAATATGATGCATATACTTTCCTTATATGGCATATGGTCATGTATTGATATTACCTCATTAAAAACCTTTATAAGAACCTGTAAAGTAAACTCATGAAGGGAAAAGGGTATAATATGATGCATTAAACAGGAACAATTCAGGAAGATACTCCCCCTGATTCTTGCAAAATTCGAAGCCGTCACATACCAATTCTGTGAAAACTTGGTAGAGACTTCATGAATAAATCAGTCATATGATTTAACTTGCAAGATATGCAATATAGCGATATTGCTTATTACGTAACTTGTTTGCATCCGGGCAACACAAGACAGATTATCGTTGAGATAATGGTTGGCGAATGTAGCCGCGAGGTCTATTTTGAAGACTCTTCACGAGAGGGCTACCACACCTAGTAGGAACACTAAGCTTGTCTACGATCTGACATACTGGCGATCTGATCGATGTATCCAACGATATCGGTGTTCACATTTCTGTGAAACTGAAAAACCAGGACAAGATGTTTGATGCATTGGAGATATCTAAAGATATTCTTGAGTATCAACCAATTGTGTTTGGTGGATCCAATGGCATTATGGAACGTTGAGTCCCAATATCTCATTTTCATCATCTCTTAGTCTAAATAGATCTTTCTCTAGGTCTAGAGAATGAACTACCATGAGAGTTATGGATAGATAAGATTTGTCCACAATGAATTTCTCCAATATATCATGGATATAGACAACATAGTATACCATAATGTATGAATGAAGG